TTAAATCCAGACAATATCAAACATGAGCCCAAACTGTTGTAGTTAGTGTGGCACTTTTTGTATTTGCAACCCTGTTGAGTGGGATTGAGTGAGGACGACAATCGTCTGCCGTTAGTTTGTCTGGCACCTTCTGTATTTGTGTCGTAATCTGTGCTTGAGTGACTGTTATGTCTGCCACCTTCTGTATTTGTGTCGCAGTCTGTGTGTTTGAGTGACTGTTTTGTCTGGCACCTTCTGTATTTGTGTCGTAGTCTGTGCTTGAGTTACTGTTCTGTCTGCCACCTTCTGTATTTGTGTCGCAGTTCTGTGTGCTTGAGTGAGGAAGGACAGTCGCCTGCAGTGAGTCTGTCTGGCTGATCTCCCTTGTGGCTAAAGTGTTTGTGGACATCAAGCAGACGTAAGGGAAACAGACAGCAGATGCATGCATACGACATTCATTTTACAATGTTTTCCCCCCTGTTTTGTTTTGTTTTGTTTGGGCATTTTTATGTTTTGCGTCTGTGTTCTTATATCACTTTATCAGAGCACTATGTTTTCCACAGTGTAGACATCGAAAAAATTGAAAGACAAAAAAAATCTGCTTTCTATTTTATCTTCGTCATCGTTTTATGATTCTTTTTGTTGTTGTTGGTGTTATTGTTGTTGTTTGTTAGTTGTTGCTTTTTTTTAAATTACAGGTTTCCGTTTCTTCGTTTAAACTGTCTCCCCCCCCCCACACACACATACTTTAAAAAAAAAGAAAAAACGTTTTTCTTCTTTTTCCTTTTAGCCATACCTTTTGTTGGCCTGGCAGCATTTATTTTATAGCCTGTTTCCCCCTTTTTGATGTTTTGGTTTGGGTTTGGGAATAAATGTATTGAAAAGTTCCCGTGAAAATAAAAGTAAATTTAAAAGAACAAAAATAAATGTATCTTAAAATAAATGGAAGCCGTGCAGTGGTCTGAAGCTTTTGTCCAGTAATGTGTTTCTTGTCAGCGAGTTTTATCTTCGTAACTCTCTTGTGCTGGGTCTGGCTAGTTTTGTTGATCGTTTGTCGTGCATGTCATGCGATTTGGTTCATTGAGTTCTGTTTATCGTTTACTGCGCAGATCAGAGCAGTCTGGTTCGGTGCAGTTTTATTGGAAAGAAGAAAGTTGAGATTGCGGCGAAGTGATTGTTTGTTTGTTTGTGTGTGTATGTGAGTTTGTGTGTGTGTGTGTGTGTGTGTGTATGTGTGTGTGTGCGTGTGTGTGTGTGTGGGTATGTGTGTGTGTGCGTGTACATGTTTGTGTGTGTAGGGGGGGTTGCATGTTTGTGTAGGTGTGTGTGTGGTTTAGGAGAGGAAGTGGAAGAA